ATACTACTACACACACACACACACACACACACACACACACACACACACACACACACACACACACACACACAAATTAATTAATTGTTAATTAAATGTAAATTATTCTCTGCTTATAGTTACATTAAATAGCCATAATAATTGAATGAATGAAACCTTGATTCAAAAATGCAATCTAAGAATTTATAAAGTTTAAAATTTTAACTTTCTTTAATAAAGTAATTTTCTTTGAATTATGTAAAAATTAAAATCTATTATTGATTTACTATTGATGTATAATACTAAAAAGATCGATTAATGATCCGAAATTAAAGATTTATAATATCAAAAATCTCAAACTGGTCAAGAATTTGAGATTGTATAAATTAATAAGTTGTAATAAATTCCATAAATAATCCAAATTGATTAAAACAAAAATATTTATATTTCTTGAGCAAATATTTTATAGTAAATATTAAATTAAAAAAGATATCAAAGATAAAAAAGATATCGAATAAGACATTAAAAGAATAATAAGTATTGATAAAAGAAAACACAAATGTTTTAATTTTAAACCAAACTTTATTGCACCTGTACAAATATATTGTATTTTCTAACTATTGAACATGTGTTACATAGAGTTTTGCACAATGTAATCTATTTATATAAATCTGATAATCGATTTCAATGATATCTAACTACCACATGCGTGTTTATTTTGGAACATAATTGATTTAGAGCGTGTGATTAAATTTGTGTTAAAAAGCTTAAATTAAAATGTAGAATATATTTCTCATTACCAATGAAATTTTTTTCTAAATTTTCTTATATTTTTGTAAATATGCTTTAAAATGAATATAAACTTGAGGCCAAATCATTTTATTTGTAGATAAAAAACTAATAGATTTATCATTAACAGTTAAAATTTATTAATAAAACATACAATTGTACACATTTATATTTACTGAGAAAAATATATATGTACTAATTAGCATATGAAAAGCTCTTTAATAAAATATACGATAAAAAAAAACATATGTAAAAATCTTTGAACGTAAATAATAAATATACGTCATTAGAAAAAAATTTTTATAGATAATTTTATCTCGGTAAAAATAGTTTATGGCCATATATTCTTGTAACCGAATCTCAAATTAAGTTTCCGATAAAATGTAGTATGTTTAAAATTAAGTGCAGCTACTCTTTTATAATTATAATATCGTGCTATTTTTTTTTTGATTGAACAAGTGCTTTGATGTTACGAATTATCAAGAAAAAATATAATATAATTCGAAAGCGAGCAGATATTTTCGAAGAATATTGTTGATTGTTTTCGTTTATTTTTAGCATGCGATCTGTATATACGTCAAGGGATCTTCCATAAAATCCATAAGATTCGATGACACGTGTTACTAAATTTGGAATTATTTATTCACTGGAATTAATATCGATATCCGAG